AACTTCATCCGCCAGTTCCTTCAGGACCCGCGGATGGATCTCATCAGGTCCCATGGACTTGTGCACCTTCAAGTTCCTCAGATGTTCCCGAACCTGCTCTTCAAGTACAGTGGGCGGTGGTTCATCCTCACAGTCCCTGCTAGTTCTTTCCACAGCTTGGGTGGTAAGACAAGAGGCTTTATCAGTGAAGACTGAGGCAAAAAAGTCATTGAGTAACTCAGCCTTCTCTATGTCCTGAGTAACCAGAGCACCAGTATCCTTCCAGGGGGGGCCTGCATTCTCCTTGGACTTCCTTTTGTCCCCTGCATACCTATAGAAGCTATATTGTCCTCCTTGGTCTCTGCCAGTTAGAAAGGTGAACTCTGCAGGCTGTCTCCTGGCACCAGTTGATTGAGTCCTTGCAAAGCATGAGTGTCACATGCAAACCTACTGATGTTGTTCCTCCTTCAGTCTGCACACCGCCAATGGTTTTGTTGCTAATTTGCTTGGGAAAATAGTTAAATAAAGTAGCAGTGGGAGTAGCCGCAGCATTTACTGATGCAGCCAGAACCTGTGTAATCATTGGCACTCTTGGGAAGAGAGCAGTAATCGTTGTAGTCTCAGTGCTGCATGACTGAGATGATCTCACAGCATGGTGCACTCCACTCATCCAGGAACTGTTGCTATGCACTGATAACAAACACTGGGAGTAAGATCAGGAAATGTCAGAGCAGAAGAACAGAGGCTACAACAATATAGGTTTTGTTCACATGACACCAGAGAGCTCCATTTTTCTGTTCCTGGTGCTACACAAATGCAGAAGTCATACCCAAAAAAGAACCAGGCTATCTGTGTTTGTGAGATTTCTTGGATTTTTTTTTCTTCAAGGGGTTATAGCCATTAGCAGATTGAAGATTTTAAGCTACAGAGATACCTTTTGGCTTTCCAAATCTTGAAATTGCAGAAGGACAGAAAATGAAGGGACTTTTCTAGTTTGATTGCCATGATTTCAAGATCTATACCTGAGCACTGACTTTTCTTTTGTAATGGAAACACAAGGAACTCACTGCCTGCATTTGAGTAGCAAGAGCTGAGTAGTTCACAGCTCCTGTGCTGTTTTATGTGGTATGGGAGCTCATGTTGTACTGATCAGTGCTAATGGAAGCGGCGCTTGCAAGTCTGTACCCCTGTTAAAATTTGACTGCCTGAGAGTGCAGATCTTGTCCTTTTCGTATGTTCCACTTATTTCTGCCTCCATGTATCAGTAAACAAACCAAGTCCCTGAAGACTCATTTGGGGCAGCCTGGCCCTAAGACAGATTGTCTTAATGGTAGCAGAGAACAGTAAAAGTCTTTTCAACTTGCCTGGTCTAGAGTTTGTCCTGGGGACATCCTGTGTAGTCTGGATTTCTGAGATTTTAACCGCAATCAGTAGATCATAAAGTTCCCCGTTGGCACTGTAACAAGGCTTTCCTGTGAGCCAAACCCACTTGTAACCCTGAAAGACTACTACACCCTTTACCAGAGTCCCTCAAGTGTATAGGCATCTTTCTTCAGTCCTTTCCGAAGTTTCTTCTTGATTTTCATTAGTCATTGAGTGCCGACTACTAACTTTGTGAATAAATCTGTGCCTTTGAGGGCTTGAAGTCTAATTTGGACAAGAAAGAATGAATAAAGAATCCCTTGAAATATCAGCTACCTGGTGAACTCTTTTGAGTTGCAGGTCAGACTTTCAAATTTCCTCCCTTTTGGTCCTGCTGTCTGGGTTACAGTCCATGGCTAGGATTCTCTCCTTGCCAAATATTTCAGGGAAGAGGTGCAGGTATGTTGCGTATGATGCTCAGTCAGCTGGCTATGTGGGGAAATAGCCAGCTGCAGTCAATCTCCTCATAAATTATTGTACTGGATTTAAAGACCTCTCAACATTTCTGGACCGTAGACTCCTGGGCCAAGCGGAGTCAGTAACCCAGTACCACAGCACACCTGCTTCTGTTTACACGCTCCTCCATGACATATGTACTGTACAGTCTTCCTTAGAGGGTCCTTTCTGTCTTTAACAGCATAAAAGGTCCAGCAAATTCTGAGACCTTTGCCTACTTCCTCATGCTCTCTTCTAAGTAAGAGACTAGGACTTGATGCTGCAGAGCACAGCCATTGACCATAGCTTTAGATGTAACAAGTGAAATGAGTTGATTGTCATGAAGGTGATGTAATATTGTCTCTCTGCATAACAAATGTGTAAAAAAACTCTCCACTCTTGTTCTCCTGCATCTCCAGAATGAACAAATGCATTGGCAAAAGCTTCGGAGCTTGTGCTTTGAGGATATCTGGGAGACAGACCATCATTTCAAAGGAGGGAGTGCAGCTCATCAGTGATGTGGCCTATCACGTTTCCAGTGCTTAAATAGTGGTTGGAAACGCCAGTGGCTGAGCAGTATTGCCTGAGAGATGAAGATGCTCTGCCTGCCAGCTTCAAAGCCATTTCCTTGATGTGGCCACTGACAATCTCAATAACATGCTTATTAGTGAGAATTAAGAACTGAAGCTACTGCTTCTTTAGACAGGAGGAGGAGGAGGTGGCTTCTGGAACATAATAAATAAATCAGAAGCACTTTGACATCTTCAAAGGGTTTTGTTTTAAATAGTGGCTTTTCTCCTGGGGACCCTCTTAGCCCCAGTCTTTCTTCTTTGAGATAATTAATTCAAGCTGCTCTACATGTTTGATTTTGCCACAGTGAACAGAACTGGTCTGAGTGGCAGGGAAGTCTTGCAAGATCTTGCAAGATCCTATAACTCTTCTAGGTCAGCCTCCCACACAGCTCCCTGGAGTCTTCTACATGAGACAGAGCAGTGTTTCCCCAGCAATGTGTTTAGACGATTAATGCTGCAGGAGTTGGTCCATGGATTGCAATTGGTCCCATGTTCAAAAGATGAACTACTAGATCACCCATACTTTGGCTATAATGAACTGGTAATCCTTCTCATATGACATGATATGCCAGATACTGACTGTACAGGGTCAGTAGCCCTGCACACAGTTGAAAAGAAGTACCAATTACCTTTCTTTAGCATCATCCGAATACTCTGTTCTTTCCCATCAAAGGAGAGTGTTTCCTTCTGTTTTCCAGTCTGAGCTGTCATTGATCAGTCCAAGTTTGATTTTCTCCACTTCAGAGACTGACCTTTTCATCCTTATGCAGTGGCAGTGACAGGAGCATTGGTTTTGTTTTCATTTCTATAAACATTTGTGCCATAACTTACTTCTGAAATTCAGAGTTTTTTCCTGAAAGGAGGAGTTGGACTTTGCTATCATTTATACTTCATCTTTATGGCCTGTGGCCGATACTTTTCGTATTCATGAAGTATGCTTCAAAATAGGGATGCACATAGTTCCCTACATGCACCTGGGGCTTAGCAGAGAGAAAGAAGACATTGTCCCTGGCCCAAGAAGTCTTCAGTTTCCATGAAATTTGATCTGATAGATATGAAAAGAGACTGATTCATTCATCGGGAAGAGAGGATAGGATGTTCAGAGTGTGTAATTACAAAGCTGATTGTTGGTGCAATGTTATTTCCTCTGTAGTCAAGTAAAGTTTGTTTGAGTATAGATTGGGAATTAATAACTGTTGTTATCCTTATGAATCTGAAAACATCCCAGTTTGATGAACTCTGGTATACAGAGGAATAGCGTAAGTCTTGTTCCGGTTACACCAGTTTAATACTCATGTATCTGTCTTGTCTATAGCGCAGTTACTCTTTGTATAGCCATGTGAACCAGCCTTGCAGTTTTTATGCCAGTGTTCATTCCATCATGTCCACTAGCTTTGAACGCTTGACATCCATGTCGCACTGCTCTGTTCATGCTGTAGCTGAAGTGTGTGATAGCATTGACATTCAGGATCTTCTCCTCGCTGCAGGTTCTTAAGCTGCCTTCATTTGATATTAGGGTGCTGACATCCATGCAGCAGTGGGTGTCCCTATTCCTCTCTCCTAACCTCTTATACTGGGCTAAGCCACTAGCAATCCTCAGTTGCACATAGCTCTCTAACTGTGCTTTCTCTAGATCTGGGGTTCCTTGTTACAGACTTTAGTTCTTTTGTAGATGCTAAACTGTTTCTCTCATCTTATCCTAGGATTGTGCTGATGGATGATGCTATGGATTGCCTGATGTCTTTTTCTGATTTCCTCTTTGCTTTCCAGATCCAGTTCTACTACTCAGGTAAATGCTAGGAAGCTGCTGACTTCACCCACTAGTGCAGCATTACAACTTTATAGCTTCCCAATCCCTGTGCTTTTTTGAAATTTGTATGGATATAGTTTTTCACAGAAGGTATATAGATAATGGAATCTACTGACAAAAGGCGTCACTGATGCTAAGAAGTTAGGAGGCTTCATAAGGAAGTCCCAACTTTTTGTGAATAACAAGATACCTGTTACTGTTATAGCTTACGCATATAGCTTAGCCTTGAGACATAAATTTCGAGCTTTATCTAGAGTATGTTAGCACCTCACAATTAACTTTTGCTAGGAACGAGTTTTTTTCCTTTCTTTAATACAGCATTTCTGCCTCTGAAGTATTGATCCCTGCGAGAGACAGGATAAGAAAAGCCCGCCAGCTGGTACCTTGAAAGAAAAAGGAACTGAGCAAGTGGATACAGTTCTTCCCCCTAATACTTGCCCAACTACGAGCTGGTTTCAGCTCAAAGAGTTTCTGAGCTGAGTATAGTTTAAATGGATTTAGGAACCTCCAGTGGACTCCTCTCCTGAGAACTTGAGTTCCCCCTTGAAATCACATAAACTTTTAACCTCCACAAAACCATTTGGCAAGGAGTTGTGCAGGTCTGCCACCTGTCCCATGAAGAACCACCTCTCTTGTTTGATTTGAGAGCCTCTAGTTGGAATGGAAGGTGAACAGTTAATCCCCATCAAGCTTCTTCATATTTTTGGTCATTTATCATATTCCACTCCTCTCCTCCAGTTTGAGTTTTAACTATATGGGGTACTTCTTTTTAAAATTCTTGACAGGAAAAGTACAAATCAAATAATATTAGTTTGTGTGTGTATATTTCTATATGCTCACCCACACATATACATCTGTAAAAATTCCCAGATATTTTTAAACTCTAAAGCTTGGGAGACAAGGGGGAAAAACTTGGATGAGCATTCAGGTGCTTGTTCTGTACAGGGAGACTGCTTTAAAACACATTAGCCTGTTTGTCCTAGCCCCTTAAAATGTGGTTGAGGAAAGGGAATCTCGTTCAGGGAGAATAGATTGAGAGCAGCCCTGAAGGGAAAGACTTGAGGGTGTTGGTCGATGAGAAGCTCAAGATGAGTCAGCAATGTGTGCTTGAAGCCCAGAAAGCCAACCGTATCCTGCGCTGCATCGCTGCATCCAAAGAAGCGTGGCCAGCAGGTCAAGGGAGGTGATTCTGCCCCTCTACTCTGCTCTCCTGAGACCCCACCTGCAGTACTGCATTCAGCTCTGGGGTCCCCAGCATCAGAAGGACATGGAGGTGTTGGAGTGCCTCCAGAGGAGGGCCAGAAAGATGACTGGAGGACTGGAGTACCTCTCCTACGAAGACAGGCTGAGAGAGTTGGGGCTGTTCAGCCTGGAGAAGAGAATGCTCCAGGGTGATCTTATAGCAGCCTTCCAGTACGTAAAGGGGTCCTACAGGAAAGCTGGAGAGGGGCTTTTTACAAGGGCATGTAGTGATAGGACAAGGGGCAATGGATTTAAACTGAAAGAGGAGAGATTTAGATGAGCTCTAAGGAAGAAACTCTTCGCTCTGAGGGTGGTGAGGCACTGGACCAGGTTGCCCAGAGAATTTGTGGATATTCCATCCCTGGAAGTGTTCAAGGTCAGATTGGATGAGGCCTTGAGCAACCTGGTCTAGTGGAAGGTGTCCCTGCCCATGACAGGGGGTTTGGAACTACATGGTCTTTAAGGTCCCTTCCAACCCAAACCATTCTATGAACTGCTTAAGTGGGCAAAAAAAGAGAAGCATTTTCTATCAAAGTTAGATACGCTCCCAAGCACTGAGGACTGCTGGGGTGCCACTTCCTCGTCTTCCAGCACAGGGCACTTTATAAAGGTAACATAAGCACATGGATTTCTGTCCACTCACACTTAAATAGCTCCCTCTGATGGACGTAACTCACAATTGGCCTCCAACGGGCAATGGGGCCAGGTTTGAATACTGTGAGACACTGGCTAGAAGCTGTCGGTATAGTCTGTGGTCAGAGAGTAGACTTGGTTGGCCTACTGATCCGATCCAACCTGTCAGTTCCCATCTCTCTAGCAGTTAAGAGTCAGCTGCTGTCCCTAATACAAAAATAGCTCTCTCCATACTTCTCTTGTATACACGTCCCCTGTGCATATCGCAACATTATCCATGACAATTCATCAAAGAAAAACAAGTTTCAAAATGGTGGGGTTTGGGTTGGGCGGAACCAGGATTGTAGTGCCTTTAGCCGGGGACAGACAATGTGTTTGGAAAGTTTCTCCCTGATATAACAAATATTTCCACTGAGCTGCAGAACCTCAGCACAGCCTCAGGGCCCGCTGACATCCAGCCTTTCCTCTCCACCCACCTCATGCACAGCATTACACTTCCATTCACTCGGGACTTAAATGCCACCGGAGTCCTCGCAAGCCTGGCCTTGTGTGCACACACTCAAACATCCCACCCCTGTCCTGTTCACCCAGGCACAATGCACACACGCAGCCTGTCATACACTCTCCCACCAACCCACACACATGCAAACCACTCCAAATGGAATCTAGATTTGTAAACTGCTGACCACATCCATAAACAAACTTGTTTAAAATTAGACTCTTGCAGTAAACAGTGGGTAGTATGAGGAGCCTGGGGAGAGACTTTCTGCCAACTCTAGCCCTGACCTGCCCTGGCCCTTCCTCTAGATCCCATGTTATATTTACTTTGGAGCAGTGCAGAGACAAGCTGGGATACAGCCTGGAGCCCTGACTAACTTGCTCCCTTTCCTCCTGTTGCAGTTCCATATAGTTTGTTCCCAACTTGGATGAGTTCTTAATCAGTGGCAAGAGATGGAGAAGGAAAACTTTTTAGACTTTGCAAGCTAGTTTTGTGTTCAATGTTAGCTTTCATGCTCTGCTGTTTTATTCATGTGCTAGCTAGCCTATGTTCCCTTGAGAAGAATCTTGTTCAATAGAGTAAATGGCCTCTCATAATCATCCTGACAGGAAGAAGCCAGCAACTTATATGGAAATGTCTGTTTGCGCCTGCATAATATCTGATCTGAATATGCAGGGTGCTGCAGCGTTGTACTTATTTCCTGTTGGTACACAGAGCAGGGAATGACAGTATAATCCCAGGTCTGATAGGTCAGGAGGATGCTTTGCTGGTTATTGCCCTGAGTTTTAAGTGTTGTTCTGTTTTTTTCAGAGTTCCTGGAAAGCGTGGCAGTCATTTATCAAGATCTACTGGCTGGTAAGAATCCAAATACTGTGATTGTGCCAACATCATCCTCTGGACAACATCGGCAGCGCCAACCCTCAAATGACTGCAGCCCACTCGATGGGGTAGAGGCATCTCTCTTCTACCAGTGCCTAGAGTCCTTGTGTGATAGATCAAAATACAGGTATGAATGAAGTCCAAAATACAGATTTGAAGTCTGTGTCTCTGGAGACCCTTTGTAAAGTTGGAGCTGTGAAGAAATACAGGACTTTGAACAAGCTGTAACTCCCAAATAGATCTCATTGGAGAAGTATGAAGGGATAGATCAAAAAAAAAAAACCAAAAGAGAGAAAGAATTTCATGGACCTAAGAAACATGGGGTTTGTGCTGATTCTTGAAGTAATAGACTGATTTGAGTCTCTGCTTTCCCTCTCACTTCTGCATTGACCCTTTCATCATGGAGAAGACCATCTACCATCATGAGTTAACTAGAAGAGAGAAACAAGTGCAGTTGTGTTCTTGGCTATTGAAGCATAGGAAACGCACACTGGAGTGGATGGAGTTTGAAGCCTTAGTACCTAGACAAGATCACACTGCTAATCTGTACCTGAGCCTGTGATGGAGCTGGTCTGCAGTTACAGATCCCAGGCACAAGGCTATCCTTA